CCGGTCTCGGTAGGCGTGAAATGTCGTGCGGTGTTCCGCAGGTGTCGGTGTTAGGGCCACTCTTGTGGAACATCGGCTACGACTGGGTGCTTCGTGGTGCCTTCTTGGATGGTGTCGCCGTCGTGTGCTACGCGGACGACACACTCGTGACGGCGCGCGGCAAGACGCACCACGAGGCAACCCTGAGGGCCACGGCCGGGGTTGCCCGTTGTCGTTGAGCGTATCCGGCGGCTGGGTCTCGAGGTGGCTCTACACAAGTCCGAGGCCCTGTTCTTCCACGGGCTTCGGAGGAAGCCGCCTGAGGGATCTAGCCTCACGGTAGGAGGCACTCGCATCGGCATCGAGCCCTCGATCAGGTATCTGGGGCTCGTACTCGATGGCCGATGGGACTTCGGATATCATTTCCGAGGTCTGGTCCCCAAGTTGGTTGGGGCAGCGCGTGCGTTGGCGCGGCTGCTGCCCAACATGAAGGGACCCGATGACTCCTGCAGGAGACTCTACTCGGGGGTTGTGCGGTCCATGGCCCTTTACGGGTGCCCAGTAGGCCAGCAACGTCGCGATACTGCGACGACCGCAGCGAGTGCTGGCCATCAGGATCATAAGGGGGGTACCGCACGATCTCCTTTGAGGCGGCGAGTCTCCTAGCCGGAACTCCACCGTGGGACCTGGAGGCGAGAGCCCTTGCGGCTCTGTATAAGTGGCGCAAGGAGGCGCGGGAGTTGGGTCGGTGTCCCGAGACTCGAGAAATTGATGACCGGAAATCCCAACTCCGCCAGGTCATCATAGGGGAGTGGAAGGAACGACTCGGGCAACCGAGCGCCGGGCACGCCGCGATGACCCGTTATGGAGGATTGGCTCGAGAGGCGTCACGGGACCCTCTCATACCGACTGACGCAGGTGATCACTGGGAAAGGATGTTTCGGGGATCACCTGTGTCTGATCCGCAAGGAGCCAACGCCTGAGTGCCACCACTGCGATGGCCAGACCGTGGACACGGCTCTCCACACGCTGGCAGAGTTCCCGGCGTGGGTTGAGCAGAGGCGAGACCTCGTGGCGGCCATCGGAGTGGGAGTTCTCTCGCTCGATAGCCTGATTGCGGCTATCGTGCGGAGCGAGAGTACTCCCTGGGCCAGGTACCGCAGGCGACTCAGGCGCTGGAGGTCGCAGAACGACCTCAGTCCTCCATAAGCGCAGGCCTGGGGGTGACAGGTGAGGCCATCTGTCACCCTAGCAGAAGCAGGCCAGGGTGGCGGCGAGCGCGTTGCGAAGCGCGCTCGCTTCCACAGGGACAGGGAGCACAGGGAACATGGGGTTTCCACACGGGGGGGGTCGTCTACTCGTCTGTAGATGACCCGAGGTATGTCGGGGCACCAGGGACTTCCTTTCTAGGGTATACCTGGTTCCCCGGCTATTGGGCATTTCTTGTTGATGGGTTTTTAATAATAATAATAATATTCTACCACATTCACATAACGCCATCTAGTCCCAAACAAAGCAGAGCTTGTGCTATGACTACTAGACAACTGATGTAAATACATAATACACTATTTTTGTAAATACATACTTATTATACATGGATATGTTTCTATTCAATTGATAATTATATAAAATGGCGTTTTGTGATTGATGATGAATAATTCTTTATTTATTTTCTTGTTATATTCAATTTTTTAACGTTAGATTTTCTATATTTCATTTATTTTTAACCGACTTCCAAAACACAAAAGAGGAGGTTCTCAATTCGTCTGTATTTTTTTTTTTATGTATGTTTGTTCAGCGATTTCTCCGTCAATTGTGGACCGATTTTCAAAATTCTTTTTGTAATCGAAAGGGTATGCTCCCGAATTGGTCCCATTATCACCAATTCAGGATCTGATGATGGGATCCTAGAGAAATCGAGGGAAATCCTCACAATTATTGGGAATTTGACAGCCCCGACAACGTGTTTTAGCTACGAGTATTTCTTTAGCCAAACAAACCATGGCAACCGTCAGAGACTGCGCGATGTGATGCGCAGAGAACTTGCAGTATTTATGTCACCACAGTAATTTTCGTTGTATTAAGAAGAAAAGGTTGAAATTTTGTATTCTATCTTGTTAAAATAATTCGGATAGACGTTTTGTTGCTATGAATGGCATCGCATTTCGTTTGTAAGTAATTTTATACTTAATTTACTATAATAGTCCTCAAAAAAACTCTTAAATTTTGTGTGGGTCAACTTTCTAAGGAGAGGCCTATGTCCAGCAGTAATTTAATATAATATTTAATATAATCTAACAAACTACTGTTTGTTACTATACATTACGGTACGTAGTGTTTTAAATCTCGTACTTATCTACTCATTACAAACATATCCTACACTAAAAATGGTAAAATAGACCCTTTTAAAAAAAAAGTTGAACCGACTTCAAACAACACCGACAAAGAGCACTAAAAATTAAAAAATAATTACAAATCTAAGTAAAAAACTATAATAAGTACCCTCAATGTAACAGGTAACATTATAATACCAATAGTCCCTTCTAGTCTGTTTGAAGTCGGTGCCAAGCTCGATGCAAAATAAGTAATACTGGTCTATGTCAGCTTTATATTAGCACAATGAAAAATTAAGAATTCAAAATAATTCTAATGAAACATCGAACATTTTGTTAATTAATAAAGACCAACCAGATAAATTACGTGCGCAAACTTTTCAACTACTTATTAAAACATTCAAAATAATAATATAATTGGAGATGTGCGTCCACTTTAGCTCGTTCAACATGTTTTGCGCAGCATGAATACCATACCTATCAAGCACCTATTTGGCTTGGCACCGACTTCAAACAGACTAGAAGGGACTATTGATATTATAATGTTACCTGTTACATTGAGGGTACTTATTATAGTTTTTTACTTAGTAATGTAATTATTTTTTAATTTTTAGTGCTCTTTGTCGGTGTTGTTTGAAGTCGGTTCAACTTTTTTTTTAAAAGGGTTTATTAACACACTTTTATTAGGTTGATGTGTATGTATTTATGTAACAGACTCTTCGAACGTGCTTTTGACCCACTTGAATACCTCGAATTAAATTAAAACTTTGCAAAATTATAAAGCACCGATGACAATGCAATAATTTAAATAATTTGTCATTTTATCCTGATCAGGACCTTCGGGATTAGCGGCTTTTTCCATACGTAAAAATACAGTAGCGTCTTTTACCACGTACTAAGGTGTATGCTGAAGCAAATGTGATGAACTTACTTGTTACTTTTTTTGTCTTAATAAGATGATAATGATCATTATCGATAAAAAAAGGAAAAATAAATTGTAGTTAAAAAAAACTAAGAAAACAAGCTTTTGTAACCAGCCGAACTAAAAAGAAGAAAATAATTTTCTATAAATTCAAAAAGAAAAATCATTGTATCGTAAAAAAGCGGGGGATGCTTTTCAAGGTATTTTATTACTTTACTTTACTTTTACCGATACCTGTCAGTAACATATCTTTACAACGATAGAGATCTAGCATAGCATCTAGATTGAGTCTTTTTTACGATAAAATGATTTTTCTTTTTGAACTTATTAAAAGTTTAGTTTTAAACTTTTTTAGTTTTATTAAACTACAGTTTATTTAATTTGGGTTGGATTTGAATTTGATTATGAATTGCATTACATTATTTGTGGTGACGTATTTGTTTAATATTTAGATTGATGTGACCATTTTAATATGTATAATTTACACAATATTTATTGTTTTTCAAATAAAGTGAAAGTAACTGAGATGGGATAAATTGTATAAATGTTACATAGGTATTTATAGTAGGGGACCCCTAGCAGGGATTTCGGGATTTACTCGAGCGTATCAGATTAATATAAGGAGGAATAACCTACACCCAGTTGAGTACCTTTACCATAGATGATTCCTACATATAGGACCGAACGACTGTCAGATTAGCTAAAAAAAACGATGGTCAGAAATACTCGAGCGTGTAAGATTAAGGTAAGTTGGGTTAATTACATGCTAAAAAGGATTAGGAATTTTTTGAAGAGGACGAACGTATGCCTTGCGCCATGCGGCCGGGACGTATCTGGAGTAAAGGGAGAAGTTGATTTTATGAGAGATTTCAGGAAGAATTTGTTCCACTCGTAATATGGTGACTATCATAAAAGCAACTGGAGAAAACGAGAAGACTTCAATGCTACGGCGTGGAAGCCATGTAACATAATCGAGAGTTTGACTTTTGGTTTGGGACGGCATTAAGGGAGATATAATCTTACCTATACAGAAAGTCCTAAGGAACTTCCAGACACCGGCCGGCGTGGAATCAGAAATGTTCAGGAGAATGTGGTAGCGTTTAGCGTTACGTATCATTTGATTGCATCTATTCCTTACGGTTTTTTTTTGTAAATACATACATATTATACATAGAAACACCCAGACCAAATCAAACATTAAATGTTCAAGCATACAAATGTTTGACTTGAGCGGGAATCGAACCCAAACCTCTACGCCATACGATATAGGAATATAACTCAATTAACATTCCACTACTTTAAGATAGAGTGAAGTTATATCTCTGCAACACAAAGGGAGGATCCTCCGAACACGGGAGATGAACATGCCTGGAGGGCCGCTGTCCAACGGTTGATATTGGGCAGTCGTACATTTACTAATTAGAGCGAGAACTTTAATTAGCATGTAATGCAGTGTGTTAAGAATGGTCATAGACTGACCTGGCAAATGATTGCTAAACTGTGCAATGTTAACATATTCTGTTACAACTTAACCACGAGCCCCTTGGCAAAAATGTATAAGGTAAATGTGTAAAATGTGTAAAAGTAACTCATAAGTCATATTTATTTTCCAGATTTCAGTGAAGTGAACTACAAATAGATGTTACAAAAACCCCTACAATCGTAGTTTAGGCTAATAAATTAACACAATATTGATATACTAAAAGAATCTAAATATTTATTTAATACATTTGCGAAATTGGTGCTTCGAGTCTCTGATCTAGCGGTTAGCCCTTGTGGCCGTAGCCGTGGCCGTAGCCACCTCCTCCGTAGCCTCCTCCGTAGCCACCTCCTCCATGGCCGCCACCGCCGTGTTTTCCTGGTGCCGCACTGCGAACTACCCTGTCTACTGGCTGTTCCCCACGTAGGCTATCAGCACCCACCAAGGCCAGGATGGCCGCCAGCGCCACGAAGAAGAATGCAAACTAAATAAAATAGAATTTCATATAGTTAGTACACACTTTGAATTAGACCCTATTTTAGTTTTATTTCTTTTGGGATAAAAACAGTTAAGGAACAAGAAGTTTATTTCATTCGATTCAGGTCAAACATTAAAGATGTGACTGCCATCGAAAAAGAAACAGGAATGTTGAAATGTATGTAATTGTATTTAATTACGTAAAATATTTGAAGGAATTAATAAAAAATCAATAAAAAAGTAGTAAAAACTAACAATATTTACATATTATCCACTATTATAGCAATTATTAATAATTACATTGAAAAGAAATCATTAAAAATTTAAAATGAGTGAAGTTATTACACTCAACAAGTTATTAAAATGGGATGAAATTGCACTTGGTATAAGCACAGACATACAAGTTGTTATTTTATTTTCGAAATTCTACAATAATTTTTAAAAATTATTATTGAGAAGGGTGCGACACTAGAATCGGACCGTGTTGTGCAGTAATGGTCCAAATCACAAACGAACCAAAATTCAAGTATTGATGCTAAAGTAGTAAAAATAATCTGTTAAATTATTAAATATAACATTTCTAAGAAAAAACAAGCTTTCATTATAATAATAGTAATATAAATAATAAAAATTCTCACATCTCACACCCTTCAGTCTAATCCTAAACTAGGCAGAGCCTGTGCTATGGTAACCAGACTGCTGATAAACATACTTATATATTCTAAAGACATACATATTATAGACAAATTACACCCAGATAAGACAAAATGTTCGTGCTCGTCACACAATTATTTCTCCTGGGTAGGAATCGAACCCTCTGGCTTAGCAGTCAGGGTCAATAACCACTAGACCAACAAGCCAGTCAATAATGTTTTTTTATCGCTACGTAAATGTATATTTTATATATATATATATTGCAATCTGAAAAAGATAATTTTAGGCAGTTGACACACTCATGCTTCTGGATTACGTTGTTTAACTACAAAACTGTTCAAGTAATTTGAACATTTTTGATGGTTAAGTTGTTATTTTCTTACTTTTTTATTTTCAGAAGTTTTTTCTTATGAAGTGTTTATTTTTATAAGTTTATATGAAAAGGATGAATTAGGAGATGAATGAGATAGAAACTATAATTCGTTTATTTTATTTTAATGATGCTTTTATTATATTAATATATCGTCGCCGATATTACCTACTCAATTGGTTAAATCGTTTTTTTTTATTCTAATCGTGATAAGCAATAAATATATAAAATACTAAAGAACAATGGCAGAAACATATTTACTACTGAAGCGTTTAAAATATTTACTCACAGAAAACTTAATAAATATTTTTATTCTATGATTTATCATTTATGTGTTGTGTAAGTCTTATAAGAGATAGGATATTTTTGAAGATTTTATTTGACCTAAGTACTAGGGATGGTGATGTCATTATTATATGTATTATGCAACGTTTTATCGATAATTAATTGTTATAACTTTAGCTGAAATATCTACCGAAGGTTAACATTATTTGATTATGAATTTAACAACCTAATTAGAAATAATTTAGAATATATTTGACTCTCTTTAAAATAATTTTGCCACACTAAATAAATAGAATATAGTCACGTTATTTTCCATGTTATTTTACTACTTAGTGTGATGAGGAAAAGACATTGTAGGTTGATAACGGCACATAAATAGACATCGATATTTTCAAAATGTCGATTCGTGTTCGATTGGATCCTGTCGAGTTCTGCACTCACCAGTCTTGTCGTTTGACACTAACACACATGACTTACATATACATACTATTTCTCACAAGACAATTGTAGTTTGTTTTGGTTGTTTTACTTTTGTTCAATTTAGTATTAAACTCTCATAGATGTTTTTCTATTTTAATTTCACATAGTGTTACTCCATTTATGCACAATGTGACGCCTTAAAATGTTGTGCATTAATCTCAATGCAATGGTTGCATGCTTTAGATTTTAGTAAATAATGTTACAACACTGTCCAATAACTAAATAAATAAATAATTCCTTCTTGTGTAAATGTGTATTGAAGTACATTTATTCAAATTATTATTATTAATTTATTTATTATTGTTTTTTTTTTATTTTTAGCTAGTATTACACCTGCTTGGTAAGCGAAGACTTTTTACTATTGTTTTACCAATACATGCCAAGCAAATAACCTCCACCCTTTTAGAGAGTTAGCTAACATTTTCAACAGCAAAATAGGGTTGCCTACAAATAATAATAATTATAATAATATTTTCGGAAATATGACACACGACGTCATCTAGTTTCAAACAACCACATTGACAATATGTTAGTACTTAACCTCGAAACATTCAAAATCCAGTATCTTTTTTCCTAGACTTCTTTCGCTAGTTATTTTGTTATGATAATGGTCAAGAATAAATTCTCAAGTGTTTAGCCTTTTTTTAATATTTAAACGCTACCATTTCACTTCGAATAAAATTATGTATGGGGACCTGCCATTGTCCTTTATTTAAACATATTTGATTACTACATAAGAATTTGTTGAATTACCATTGATTAACAATTTTTTTATCATCTTAACTAATTTTGCTTTGAGTAAAATCGTTTTCATCTTGCGATTTAGTAATTAACACATCCGCGTTTCGGTACATATTGCAGATACTAAACAAAACTCAAAAAAATCTAAACCATCGAAATCAAAATCGAGTAATCAAATTTTAAACTGTATTTTGTCGATAGCGTCAACTGTTAATTTTTTTAATTCCTACCATCGACAGAGACAATTAAGGCTTCCTGTGTTAAGTCCACTTAAGAACATAAGGCATTCTAAGGTGATTTCTATCATCATCATCATCATCATCAACAGCCTTTACTAGTCCACTGCTGGACATAGGCATCTCCTTAGGAAGGAGGTTTCTATGGCTTTTCTAATTTAAATAACTACTACTACTAAAATACTAACCGCAGATTTTTAACTTACTTCAAAATAGGAGACAGTTCTATGTTCGAGTGTATGTATTTTTTGCTTATTGAATTAGTTTATCAAATGCATCAAGTGCAGGACACTTGATTGTAAAGAACGTAATCTTAGAATTACTTCCCTATCTAAATCAATTATTGGGCTCATCGAACTAAAGTTAATATAATCTAACGATTAAAGGCACTCTTTGGGCTACCGAACAGTAATTAGATGCTCTGAAAACTGTAACTACTGCACATACATTAAGAAAATGGAAAATAAGCTTTAAAGAAATTTAACCGACTTTGAAAATACTAACAAAGAGTATAAGAATAACATCTATATGCGACACTTTTAACATAATAAATGTACCTTATTTTATAATTTTTTTAAATGTATTGAAGTATTTTCAAATAAGTTTGAAATCAACTATTCTTCACTTTTTAGGGACCTATGTCATTTTTTTAAGTTTCACGTTGAATATAATTTAAATACATATATTATATCCGGTGTTTAAATACCTACATGTAAATATTACAATATAATTATAAATTTTTATTTTATGTATAACTAAGCTTTAGAATTGGTTATTAGTGTATAAAATAAAAATAAAAATGTATAATACAGACACATAAATAGTTAAGTTTTATAAGTATAAATGTAATTACGATAGATTTGACTTACGAATTTCATTGTGGTTCGAACAGTTGTGATACATACATAGGCTCATTCGCCTTTATATACAATAGTGGCAGACCACCACCACTTAAAACCGGTCTTGTACTCATCACTCTTAAACTGCCTACATAAAAAACTTTAAATACAGATCGGCCGATGTCTTATCCCTTCAGAACACACCGTAGCTTTCGGCGTTTTAAGTAGCTTTTAAAGTATTACTATTGTAATGTGTTTTTAAACTTATCGGTTAAAAAAATCAAAAGTAAAAAGGAAGGAGGAGAATTACAAACAAAAGACAAAATTTTATTTAGTTAGTCAGCTTTTTTTTAATTGACTTTACTTTGGTTATATTCATTGCAGTGCAATCGTGATTGATGTGAACACGATACACATATATCTTCTTCCGAAGATCTGGACTAGAGTTCGACGTACTAGGGTGGGTAATCTATTCCATCCGAGCAAGGCCAAAGCAGATTTCTGAACGAACCACGCAACGCAATCCCCACGGATACCCCCCACCGCCGGCCGATGGCTTGGTTTTGTCGACGAAAAGTAGCAAGTAGCCGGGGAACCGGGTGTTACCTAGAAAGGAAATCCCTTGGAGAAATGTCTGCTTGATGTGTACAATTACTATTTAAAATACCTGTATATAAATATTAATAACAAGTTTTTACACTATTAGTATTAGCTTGACCCGTATCTGTCTATCCATTTGTGTACATAGGTAACGAAATCATTCAATGTAGTTTTCATACACATACATGAAGTTGTAGTTATACAGGCTGTCCCAGAAGTCGACGTCAAACCGGCATCGGGTGATAGGTAACAGTTAACAGAAAATATAAAAAAAATCTTTGCTATGTACTACATTATTTATTATTAAAAATTACAGGCATTTATAAAAATCGAGATAATCTACACCCTGCGACGGTCTTTTAACTCCTGTTACTACAAATTTTAAGTTTTTTTTTTTTTTTTTTTTTTTTTTTTTTTTTTTTTTTTTTTTTTTTAAGTTTCTTCTTATTATGTAATCCTGAATAATGCTTCTGAAAATTATTGCTGAAATTGTAAAATGTAATTTTTTCCCAACCATGCATTCAAAATAAAGGTACTGCACGAGTTTGGAATGTAACTTTAACAGTTGGCGCATTTAATAAGGATTTGAAAATGGTATCACACTTGCTTGAGTGTTTTTTAAATTATGGAAAAAAAAAGAAACCCAGTTGTTATTAATTTTCCATACCTGTCTAAAATGATTTTTTGTACCTCAAGGCTTTCCTCAACCCTGTTACTTAAGATTCTAGTTTGAGTTAACAGATGGATTGGACGATCTGGTACAATCTCGTGGGCAGCTCGTTCACCTGATTTGAATCCATTATATTTTTTCTTATTGGGGAGTCGTCAGAGAAAAAGTTTATTTTAAACCCATTAAAAATGTAACTGAACTACGGCAAGGACTAACTGAAGCGTCTGAATTTGTAAATAACGGTAGATTCGCTCGTCTGATAACCTAATAATACTTTTTAAGAAAATGCCGAGCGTGCATTGCGAATGAATTGATTTTTAATTAGGGCATTATAGTTTGATTAATTTTAGACATTTTATGAGTTTAATAACTTTTAGTATTCAAATAATCGATGTTAAATTCATTTATTTAAAACTTAAAAAAAAAAATAGAATGATGATCTTAATTTTATAGCAAATACACTGACTGTGTCAACATTACTATGGCTAGTAACGATTTTGGACTACCTGAAAAGAGGATTTGTGTCTCACTCACACTTGGTTCCTCCGTTTCACTCAAACTAGAATTTTTTAATTAACAGGCTTGACGAACGCGGAAAACTAATTTACAACTGGGTTTCTTTAAAAAAAATGCCGTACCGTGGTGGCGACTACAGTTAATTACGTCACCGAAAAATATATTGTTACAGTAGTTATCTATGTACTCTGTTTATTATTCTTAGTGAAAAACAACCCTAATAGGTAAAACGACATAAAAGATAAATAAACAGGATATAACGTACATTTATTCTTCAAATTACAAAAAAAATATATGTTTTTTAATAAAAAAGTTAACTAGTCAGGTGATTAATTTTGGAGAACTTGTAAATAATAACATAACAATATACATTTGCCGGATGCCGAATATGGAGTCGTTTGTCTCAATCATTAACCGCGACCGTAGCCTCCGTAGCCGCGGCCGTAACCTCTACCGCGACCGAACCTGCCTGGTGCCGCATCTTCTCCACTAGGGCTGCGGCCTAACCTCTGGTGTGGTTCGCTACTGTGGACATCGGCGCCAACCAAAGCTAGAACGGCTGCCAGCACCACAAAGAAGAAGGCGATCTAAAACATTACAATATTTTATAAATAAAAATACGTACTACTACGTACATTAATAAAACGTAAGCCAGAGAGCTAAGAAAAGGAAGGCAATAAATAGTCATTATTGCTAGTAACATTATGCTAAAACAAACTAGCCTAAAAGATAATTATGTTAACAAAAACTGTATGAAAAAAACAAATTATGTTATAGGATTATTATGCCAAAGTTTATTAGAAAAAAAACATTATGCGAAAAGAACACCCGAAAACGTATTTACATAGTACGTATATAATTACAAAAAGTATTCGATACTGTATTTTTTTTTAATTCAGGATAATGTAGAAACACAATTTAATAAACTTGGTCAATTTTCAATACCTAATTTTTAACATGTTAAATAACAGGGACTTTGTTATTGTAAACATCGCCTCAAATTAAGATACTTTTATTCAACACTTTGATTGGTAGTATACTCGAATACTGCCGCACCGTTTGGAGACCCCATTATTATACTCATATTTTGAGATTAGAAAGAATTCAGAAGCGTTACATGTGGCATTTGGCATTCACCGTCGGAATCGCCAAAACTAGTGTAAAGTATGAAAAACGACTGTAATTCCTCGTAAACCAATGGCCATGATGGTGCAACCGTTTAGAAGCACAGATCTGGGATATAATTCACCAGTTCCCAGAATGTGCAGAGCTGTAAATGAATATTGCACAAATTCAATTGACGTTTTTAAAATCAAATATCATAAATTTCGTAGACTATTATTTACAAAGTTACCCAATTAGTCACTTAACCTAAATAATGCCTCCTAATGCTCTATATTTTTTTTATTAACTTTTTCCTTTCCAACTTACATTTTATTGAACACTGATTTTATTTGTTTATTGTATTTTAATTTTTACTATTTTTATTCAAATTTTCAATTTTAAAATAAATAAATTTAAATTCAATTTTATTAAAATTTATATTGAATTTATAAATAAACAACAAATTTTGTGAATATAATAATTATCATCATTGTAACTAAACTATATAATTACTTAATATTATCTAATTGTAGTGACGATATTGTTGTGCATGTTGTATTCACCTGTTATTAGTTATGCAATTAGTTTCAGGCGAATAATTTGTGTGTCTCTTGTAATGAATTATTGTATGTTAAATAGTTGGTGAATAAAATAAATAAATAAACAAGAGGTGGCACTTAGAATCAGTAGGTAATCTAATTTTGTATGTCAAAGAAACATTCGACACGAGAGAATCTATCTACGAGTATTTAAATAAAAATTAAACGTTGTTCATTAGTAATGGCATTACCGGAAAGTAGCTAAACGATTCTGGGTTAATTCGGTAAACTTCACATCAAATCTTGTCTGTTATCATATCAATGATGAGTAAGGACCGGATTATATGCATTTGCATATTTAAGCCATTCCTAGCGGTAATAGCATATTTTGCAAAAGATTTAGTTATGGTGCATATTAGCGACACATTTACAATATTTTCGAACGCAGCACACTGAAGAGCACCGCGTTTCTTTGGTTTGGTACTTACAATAATGAAATTAATGGGACAGAAGAGTACTGTTTTTTTTTTAGAATAGTATAATGTACTGTACCTATTAACGTCTATGAATGGATAGTTTTCTAATTAAAAATTTAAAACCCACATTTCTTTATTTTTTGGGTTTTTAAAACTTATCATGTAATTATTGCATATTCTACCAATTATCATGCATATTTCGAGCATTTTTCATGCATATTTGAATGCATATAGCAAGCTTTTTTATGTTGCATATAATCCGGTCTTTGAGCGGAAACAATATGTAATATATAATATATGAGGCTTGTAACATAGAATTGTGAATCATTATACATATACTGTTGTCCTGCCCTGAGTCGCGCTGAGCCGAGGGCTCAGCCGGTTCCGCTAAAGACGGTGTAAAAACATTTGTTGCATGTAGTTTTTAAGAGAATCTAATACTAAACATTGCAATTCTCAAATCTAAAATTATGATAAAGACGTGTAAAAGCATAAATTCATTATAATTGATTCTAAAATCGTCTAAATGGACCTTAAAAATGGGCGTTCCTTATTTGTGGTTGACTTTACTATTTATCAATATAAAACTATCTGTTTAAAAATAATAATTAAAAAATACATTAAAAGAAATTCAATTTGGCTTTTAACTTGGTAACAAATTGGTCTTAACATTTGTTTCATCTACGGGAAACATACGAATGTACACACAGGCATAATAACTTCAAAGTTATAAATGTAACAAAGAATAAATTGTACTTACGAATTTCATTGCGGTTCAAATAATTGTAATGAGTTCATAGAGTAATTACTTCTTTATATACACCATTTGCAGACTGACATCACAGTTAAACCGGTTCTGAAGTATGAAAACTAATAACTTAACAAAAAATGTTAAGTACTTTAACCAACAACGAGATGTTTTTTCCCGTCGGATAGAGATCCGTCTTTTCTAATTTAGTCGATCACTTTTCACACTAGCATAGTTTCATATAAATACAAGAATAAACATGTAATTTAAAAAACACGCGAGTCAAAAATCCTGCAACGAATAAAAAAGAGCTGGTGTTCCTTACACGGCTGCACAGATTTCCTCAAATAATGACTAAAAACACTCTCGAACATGTCACATTTTCGAAAAATCACTTGATCCATCTAGAAGTCATTAAAGCACAGCCAGATACACAGACAAAAAAACACACACACACGTCCCTAATATACACACAAATACAAAAAACACACACGTTCCTAATAATTCTTTTATCGTGGGTTAAAATATGAATCAATGTTCGTTAGTAAGAATGTCATTTGACGAAACCTGGACCAATGCGGCTATTTTTGTCTTACACTGTTCATAAAATTCTTAATTAGAGTTATTTAATGATATCATCATCAACATCAATAGCTATTAATGGTCCACTGCTGAACATCGGTCTCTCCTTAGAAATGAGGTTTTGGCTTACTATACCACGCTAGCCAGACGGGGAAAGATATAAGTTTCACAAAATAAGTCAAATTTGTCTATCCATTGTCAGGTCATGCAATTACCAACGTACAGCATTTAATTGTCTCCTGGGACTCTTTTAAATTAAACGACGAAACCTATTGACTTTCTAATTCAAAGTAACTATCGTCTTTGAAAATAATGCATACAGCTTTTCTTTAAAACTGACGTCGAAAAATATTAATTAGGGTCATTTAAATCCCTGTACAGCTCATAAGAAAGTAAGATATGCATCTTACTTTCTTATGAGCTGTACACCTTAAGTAACATCACACCTTAAGTAATATCCTTATCCTAACAAAATATTTTAACAGCCCATTGTTCGTTCATATGTATATCAAGATTTACGCACTGTCTACTCAACCAATGATCATGAAGTTTTAGAAACACGCTGTTATACAGCAAATAAAATATAGAATATTTAATTTTGTTTACAAAATATACCTTAATGCAATAGCGAAGCCACGGACAAAGACTAGTACTACTTAAAACACAAATACAAGGGATATTTTCGAATTGATTTTTTTATGTGCCTAAAAAATATATTCCTTAAATTAAGCCTTAAAGCTGTGATTCTTAAAGTTCCTGTGCTGTATTGTTCTAATTTATTACCGTGGACCCTACAAAATTGTTACAACTGACGTTATAATCAGTTAAAACCTGTTTGTGTCAGGAGTAATCAATCTCCACATTTTTCTCTTGTGCTAGAACTGAATTGCTTACATAGGCAGACAGATAGGATTTATAGGGATTGTTTTTTTCAAATTCTTTTTTTTAAATTGAATGGCAAAGGTTATCGTTATTATTATATGCCAAATGTATTATTGTTTTACGCCATTTAAAAAAATAATATGAGCTTTTAAAGTTTGTCTCATTTTCAAGAAACATTCTGTATAAATCGGCCTTTTGGTGCGCCGTGCCGGACGGCTCTGGGCATTTGTAACATTTCCAAACAAAAATCTCAATGTTTAATCAGTTCTTTTCTAATAGTTGAAGTGGTATTAGTCGGGAATATTTTAAATATACGTAATAATTAAAATAATAAATGATAATATGTACATTTATTTATACTTGCATATTATTATTATGATTAAAAAAAAAATTACAATAGGCCAAAACCTCCTTTCTAAGGAGAGGCCTCGGTCCAGCAGTGGACAAAATTAGGATGTTCATGTTGATAATAATGTATACATCACATATATACATAAACATTTTTGGCTTATCTTAACTATAGTTAAGATAACTATAGTTAAACTATCGACTACTAACTATAGATTACTATAGTTTCTTTAAGTTACATGTTTTTCACGAAAATATAATTTGTGAATACCAATTAGTACAAAAAATTAATCAAACACTTGATTAATTAAACCGAAAATGGATGTTAACTCGTATTTGCTGTTCTTTTCTTTGAATACATTCAACTTTTACGTATACCGATAATGATTACAAGAGCCCGTGTCTAAGTCGGGACAGCTGCGCAGCGCTGAGCTGATTGGAGCATAGATATTGGAATTTTAAAATTGATAGGTGTGGTGTAGATATAATTACAAAAATTCATGGAGTTGCAAGTTGGTGAGGTCGTCGACCGTTGCTTTTACGATCATCTCCAAGAAACATATGTTGACAATCATCAGTATGTCCTTAATTCGTCAACATAATATATTGAAACAGTATCTCAAAGATTTTTTGTTTATATGCTTTGAAGATAATAAAAGCTTATTAAAAACATAACATGATAAAATCATGCAGAATGACTTTTTGTTGGTGGGCTATCATTTCTTCTTGTATGTAAAGGAAATATGTACTTATTTTTATAGTGTAAGGGCCCTTGTGTCCCCCTTTTCAGAATGTTTGAGTTTTTCTTTGCTTTGTAGGTTATTCTTCCTTTAAAGACAACTCCTGCACTAGGAATATTGTCCTGTGCGGAGAGCGGTCCTGATGCGGGAGAGTTTACACAAATACATTAAACGGACACAAGGAACACCCAGACTCAGAACAACCTAGTGGGGATCGAACCCACAACACTTAGCGCAGTACTTAAACTACTATGCCACTTTGTCTGCTAGTCTAGGTACCATAAGAAGAAAAGGTACCTTCGAAGCTTAGAATGATGACCGCCCACTAAGTAAGACAGTAACCAAATTATTACTTATACTTACTTACTTATACTTTGATTTTTCAATTTTCTACAGGTTAAAGATCTGAATAAATTTGGGAATTTACTTTGTTATATTGTACCCTATCGGTGACTGGGTTCTAACTTAACCGCAACGGGTTCAAGTAAAAGATGTTATGGTTGTGCTTTATTAATTTACTTTTTGCTCGACTTGGCAGGGGCATTACAGTGTCTCCAGATTAACGACGAAATCAAGTAAATTACTGTGTACGATTTAAAAAGTTATATTAGCGACTGTTTACAGACATTAAAGACAAAAAAAGATTACCTAACATCGTTTTGACTTTGTGTTGTAAATTATTGTTTGTACTCTTCATATTGTAGATAAAATATTAATGCAATTTTTAAATTGACATTTACATAAATTTAAGTTTAGTAACAGGAATAATTTTAGGTAATATCAGGACTTTGGGTCTCGCTGTGATTGACTTATTTTATTGTAGCTAACTGGTTTAACGATTTGATTCGATTAACGATTTCCGAATGACCTTCAGTCTACAAATTGAAGAATAAAAACATCACAAAAACTGTTGCGGTGTGTCTCCCATAAATTTTCCTTATACCGTCAAGTGTTTTGAATTAACATAAATCAATAGATTTTAATTTACCTCATCTCACTATGTAATTCATTTTTAGGCATTCATCGTTGATATTAACCTGCAATTATACTTTAACTATCACATGTGCAGAAAACAAATATGTACATACTTTTTATAATAAATACAGGATTAAATACGTAGAAATTTAATCCTAAAATATTTTGTTTTAGTAATCAAATGTTGCTTTTTGGATGGTACATCTATACATAAATGGATAAACAGAGAGCCAGTGCTTCAATGGTGGTGCAATTTCAAAGAAGTTCTTTCATTTCTTTTCACCGAATAATAATAATAATATTTCACACATCTCACACACAGCCTGATCCTGATCCTGATCCCAAACTAGGCTGATCCTGTACTATGGTAACCAGACTGATCGAGGTTACCGGAAGAGTATTTTCTGAGGAGGACGCATTCAGAAACGAGGAACGAACTTGTGTCTTTTTTGAGTTACATATAATATCTGTCTATGGGCAGCAGTATTGGAACGAAGTTCCTTATCGCGCGTTATACGCTCTGAGGGGATGGGAGCAAGACCAACACAACAGCAAACATCTGGCAAAAACGCGTAAGGGGGTCCATAGAACCCTCACACCGTTTTTTACTTACCGTCAAGTAACATGTCTGCACGTTTGCTCCCTGTGCTATATAAAAAAAAACATATTTCATTTTCATTTCATTTAATTTATTCTTTATTGTACACACTAGACACATAAATATAAGTAACAAGGAAATGTCATGTACAAAAACGAGCTTATCTCTTAATGACTCTTAATAATAATCCTTTATTACGACAATTATTTGTGTGGTTGAGGATTAGTAGTCCAAATTCACATTGTATCTGTTAATAACAAATCCATACTAATATTATAAATGCGAAAGTGTGTATGTCTGTCTGTTACCCTTTCACGCTTAAAAAAATTCAAATAGAGATAGTTTAAGTTCCGGGAAAGGACATAGGATAGTTTTTATTTCAGAAATCATCCTTCAAGGGGTTGAAAACGGGGGTGGAATTTTGAGTGAAGAATCTATAACCGCTTAACTGATTCAGATGAAATTTGGTATGAAGATAGATTGATTCTTGAGTAAGAACACTATTTATTGCGATAACCGACATACACGCGGGCGGAGACGCGAGCAAAAGCTAGTAGATGTATAAATGTAAATATAAAATAATATTAAAAATAATTTATTTCCATGTTCCTTAGGTGACGTAGGTGTGCACTAAAAAGGTTTTAAATAAATTCTACCCCTAAGGATGCAAAATGAGGGTTGTAAATTTACATATATACAACTTCGTTATTTTTGGTCGTACATTTTAACACTCACAGTAAAAAAAACTGTTGTTACAAACTACCCTTAAAAAGTTTGTATGGGGAACAACTTTTTTTTAACTAATCAATTCCAAACTTAGGATAATTACTACGATGTCTGATGTCGACCACCACGCGGACGAAGTTGGGCAAAAACTCGTATATTATTGATCTCCT